CCACTTGCACTAGAGGAGGATCTGCCTGTGAGAAGCACGGCAGGACTGCGGGGAGATCCCTGGCATACCATGTCAGGCTGCGGCGCGTGGTAGGGAAGGATGGAACTCGGGAGCACGTGCCTGGGTTTCCTTGCCGTCCTCCCCTCTCCTCTGGCCTCCGAGGAAGACGCCAACCAAAGGACAGAAGCTGGCCGGACACCCAGCCCACGGGGCCTCGCGCCTCTCTTCAGCGTCCGGCCGGATCTCCCACCTCTGGGCACCGCGTTCTTGTTAGCCCTGCCCCACGGTCACCTGGGGTCCCAGGGCACTGACCAGAGCCCGGGGCAGTGAGAACCGTTTCTGCAGACGGCCCATTAATCAATCAGCGGAAGCAATTTCCAAGTTGTCATTCCTCACTGGTACATTCGTTGTGATGGGGACGGGGCAAGTGAAAAGGCGGAAGGAAAATTCAAACTGAATCTCCCCTCTTTGGCCTTAATAGATTCAGCTTCTCCAAAGGAGTTTCCCCACAGGTTAAGTGAAAAGGCTGATCTCCTGAGTCCTTCCAAGTCTGTGAGAGCCTGTTCTCTACAAGCCCACACAATGGGGATCACCTGGTTCCTCAGCGATCCCTTTAGGCTCCACCTTTAAGACATGCCTGGAGCCCACCTCCCTCACCACGCCCACCACCGCCAGGCTGGCCCAGCGTCCACCACCTCAGGCCCTGACAACAGTCTCCCCGTTGGTCTCTCTGCTTCCCCCCCCACCCCACCCAGCCCATTCTCAGCACCCTAGCCAGAAGCCATCCTTCCGAAGGTCAGTGGGATCCTGGCTCTCCTTTGCTCGAACTCCTCAGTACCACCGCATCCTGCTCGGGGTCAGAGTCAAAGTCTCGACAAGACTTGCATGGCCCTGCGGGATGTGGGCTTTCATTACTTCTCCAACCCCTTTCTTGTGCTACCCGTCCCCTCCCTCCTTCCCTCCAGTTTCTAGGACATCCTGGACAAGCTCCTGCCACAGGGCCTTTGCACAGGCTGTCTCCCACCTGGATGCTCCTCCTCGAGATAAGCTCCTGGCTCTCTCCTTCGCCTCCTTCAGGACTTTGCTTAACTGTCCCAACTTGAGAGGCCTTCTTATTTATTTATTTAGCATTAATCCCCATCTGACAGTCTTTGTTTATGTCTACCCACACTAGAGTGTACGCCCAGGAGGGCCAGGATTTTAAATGTTGTATCATTCCTTTATACCCAGCTCCCAGAATAGTGGGTACCTGCTAAATATCGGATGAATACACTGAATACAGTATATCGAATGGGTACATTTTGACCACCTGCAGGCCGGACCACGCTGCTAAAACGACGTCTGGGGCCATGTAACCTCCGGCCTGAACGGCGTCATCTCAGGAGCCCTTCTGAGAATCCCAAGCTCTGGACACTGTCTCCAGGAATCAAAGTGATTGCTCTAGGCAGGTTTGCAGCTCAGGAAGCGTGTGGAGGAACAAAGCAAGGAAATGACCCAGAGAACACTGACCGGACCTGGTCCCAGGAAGTCTGAGGGTCAGCTCATAAGCAAATGCTTCCAGGTGCCTCCTTGTCGGGCAAGATGAGGTAACAAACATGGCCTCAGTGAGGGCACTGGGCACCATCCACGGGGGGGTACAAGAGACTCCAGCCATGGGCTCCTCCTCAGAACAGAGGGAAGGCCAAGATGGGGAAACGGGCAGCAGGATGCAGCCGGAAGGGGGGCTGCCAGTGCCGAGGGCCTGTGGGCAGAGCTCCAGGGGACCCCCAGCCGGGACAGGGTGGATGAGATGGAGCCATTGCCCTCGCGCAGCCTCAAGGAGGCTGAGGCGGCTTCTTGCCCTGGCCCTGCCGATCCTGGAGTGCATGAGCGGGGCGCACTCAAGCCCGGCTCTCTGAGAGCCCTGGTACCCTGTGCGAACCTCAACAGGTGACGGGAAGCAGGGACCAGAAACAAAGCCGGAGGAATGCACTGTGCCACCTGGGTGAGAATAAAGTACGCTCTCAGGAAGTGCAGCACCTAAGTCAACAGGCAAAGCCAGGGGCTGAGCACCAAGAGGCCCCTGAGATGCGGCAGAACAGAGAGGTGGGACAGCCAGAGGCCGGCAGGGCATTCTGCACGCGGGTGGCGGGGGGTGGGGTGGGGCGGCCCAGGTCCTGGGCAGCGTGGGCTGTGTGTCAAAGCCCCGCACGAGAAAAAGAAACATGGCTGCGGGAAGTCGTGGGGCGACAGGTGGGGGACTCAGATCCCGCCCAGCTCTCTCCCAGACACGGCAGGGGGACAGCAAAGGAACGCAGGAAGTGGGCAGCATCTTTGCTGTAGGACACGACGCAGTGTCTGGGAGTCCTGCCTCCTGACCGTGAGCTCCTGCCTCTCCGCGCTCATGGGCGCGGCCTCCCACTCCGGCTACAGCCATCCAACATGCCGATCATCGCAGGCCTGAACCCCGAGCTGCTAACTCTCCCATCTGCAGCTGGGGTGCCTGCAGGCAGAGTTAAGCTTCTATAGGTGAAGGAGAGAAGCCCGCACCCTGCCATGGGCCTCCAGACTGGGCCGAGGGGAGGCTGGGAGGCCAGCCTGCGCAGTGGGGACGGAAGTGTGTCAGTGCTGCTGTGGGCTGAGGTCCTGTCAGAGGCATCGGGCTCTCTTCCTCCCCAGGAGGAGAGAGTGACCTTGCTGAGGCCTCACAAAGACAATGGCAGGAAGCACCCCTCCCCGCGAGAGCTGGGAGAGTCAGGAAGGAAGTGATGACCCAGAGCCGGGGCCAGCAGACCCTCCCCACAGAGGGGGCCGTCAAATGCTAGACGCCCTGAGCCCCGGCTCCAAACGGGAAACATCTTCACCTTCCCCCTGGGTCGGGTGGGTGCCTGAGGGCGAATGCTCTCCCCGGCGGGGATCCCCTCTTTCAGGCAGACCCCCTCTGCAGACGGCCCTGCGTCCACGCCGATCAGATGCAGAACACAGCCAGACTGAGCTGAGGCACCCCAGCTGCCCCCTGCCCTGCGCCCACCCCACCCCCACCTCCTGGAAGGAAGGGCTCCTGTTCCTTTGGAGCAAGGAGCTCCTCTAAAAATAGACCCTGCTCCTTAAGCCCTTTCCGAGATGAGGAGGAGACTTCACATTCTCAGCCACGGGGAAGGCCTGCCTCTCCCCAACCCTCCCAACGCATGCCAGCCGGGGCCCAGTGGTCCGGAGGCCTGTCACGGCCACAAACTCCCACGGGGAGCTCAGAGGCGTGTAGGGGCAACCATGATCTTCCCCTCTGCCAACGCAGAGGTGAGACCACGGGGCGGGTTTCTGGCAACACCAGGGTATAATGTCATGCGGGTGGGACTCCTGCCTCTTCTGTTCCCAGCTGCCTGGAACCCCAACATGGCATCTGGTCTATCCTGGGGACACAGTAAATGTTCGCGGGATAAATGAGTAAAGCAGAGGAATTCCTGAGCACACCTGGGGCTAAGTGGGGGCCCCCAGATAAGATGGCCACAAGGCCACCATCTCTAAAACCCCGTAACTGGGGGATGCAGTTGTTCGGAAGGAAAAGAACTGCCTTCCGGTGGAAGGTGGAAAAGGAAACAGGAAGCAAAGTTGCTGTTGTCAGAGCTCAGGCCTCCAGGGCAGAGGAGTGCTCACCAGGGCCCCAAGGCCAGGGCGACCTCCTGTGCCCTCCGCCACACCCACCCCAGCCGCCGAGGCTCTCGGAGACTCTCGGAGAGTGAATTAAAACAAAACAAAACAAAAATACAACAGAGCACTCTCTCTTCTTAGCACTTGGAGGCCTTTTTACAGCAACTGAAAAGAATGAGCAATTACAGAGAAAACAGCCCGCGGTGCCAACATGGGAACACAGGAGTGAGGGGGGCGCTCTGCGGAGACCTCGTCTGCTGTGCCCTGTTCCCCAGAAAGGACGGGGGGCCCAGTCGCGGCAAGGGGCTTACCTGGAGCCCAAAGTAAGGAAGGGCGGAGCCTGGGCCCCATCCTCTGGGGAAGCCGGGGCCATATTTGGAAAACCACACCATGTGCTCTAGGGTCTAGACCTGGGGTCCAATCCCAAGCCCACCCCTGACTAGCTGTGTGACCTTGGGCCAGACACTTGCCACCTCTAAGCCTCAGCTTCCTTGTGTAAAAGGGGATCCTAATGGATCCTGTGTGCTTAGCAGAGTCAGTGTGTTCACACTGTGTCTGGGGAGGAACACTAGTGTTACCCCCCGGCGTCTTCTCCCCGAACATCCATCCTCCTTGTCTGCAAAGCTCAGACTGGCTGATTAGCGTCCAGGGAGAGGGGTGTGTTGGAGTTTAGAACAAGAAAAGGCAACACCACTTTCCCTGCTCTACCCCCCAAAGGCCTTGGCATGACAAGAAGGGGACAAGGCAAGGCCTGTGCCAGAGACTCGGGGACAGGAAATGGGATGAGATGGAAAAGAAGCCCAGGGGGACCCAGGGCAGGAGAGAGAGAGCTAAGCACTGGGAGTCCCGCCTAGGCCGACTCTCCGGAGGACCTCAGACATGCCATGCCAGCCACCCCCCCACCCCAACCGCTCAGTTTCTCATCCAGGGAAATGCTTACATGAAAACACACACACGTTTTTGTCCGTGTCACTGACTACGGCTTGTCGGAAATGAGGTGAGGCAGTGCCCAAGACCCTGCCCACTGCCAAGGCTTAGGAACTCTGAAACTCCTGTCCTGCCCTGTTTACTGAGAGTGGGGAGCCCAGGCTGGGCCAGGGGCTCCAAGAGAAGAGAAGAGAGGTCCCTCAGGGCACTCTGTACAGCAGAGACTCACAAGGGCCATCCTAACAGGTTGTATCATATCTGGGATCTTAAAGAACCACGGAAAGAACATCAGTCCTACCTACTTCGTGAAGAGCAATCAATATTTGCAAGGAGGATCGATTAATACAATCTACCCCATTAATCAGATAAAGTCAGATGTTTAAGGAAGAGGAAACAGCAAGAGAGCCCCTGCACCCCCAAACTCCAAAGCTAGTGGGCGTCCTTACCAGTGGGTCTGTGTGAGAAGGGTCCCTCGATGTCCTGCCACAGGAGGAGGGACGACTCACTAGGCACACGGAAGGGTGCTGGGGACCAGGACACACGTGTCAGCATCCTGCAGGGAGAAGCCGGTGGGGAAGGGGGTGAGACATCAGCCGCTCTGGTCACTCAGGGCAACCCAGCTGGGAAATCGACAGGGCCTGGCCTCATCCTGAGCAACGCCAGAGACCGGAAACCTAGCTGTGCCGAGGGGAGAGGACAGGGGGTGCCGGGCTGAAGGAGTCCGCACTCAACAAACGGACCCGTCCAGGATGTGGTCCCAGAGGATGATGCACCCGGCACTGCCCAGGGCTCCCTGTGCTTCAGAAGAGAACCAGGACCCACACCCCCAGCACACAGGAGCTTTCTCAGCACTGAAGCCCAGCTCGGCCTCAACACTGAGATTTTTCACCTATCAACCTAGGGGACTGCAGGACCCCAGGCTGCAGAAGGAAGGCAAACAGAGGAGAAGGGGGGAACGGCAGCCTAGAGCTCTTGGCCACCAGCCGGGAGCATCCTGGTGCCCGGGGCGGGGTCAGGAGCCGCGTCACGGGGTGATGCAGACAACTCTCTCCTTCCCATCAAGTCCCTGCAGTTGGGCGGTGTGTAACTGGAGACCCACCTCCGCCAGATATCCGGAGGCCAGAGATGAACACGCACAACATGAGGGAAAAGGTGGAGAAATGGATTTCTGGGGTGTCCTGGGTGCAATCAGCCTCCAAAACATCAGAAAATTCACAGGCACTGCTAAAGCCGCCACCCAACCCGGGGCTCCCACCATGGCCCACACCTGCAGCTCAACACATGCTTGTTTGTCTGACGTACTTGCCAGACCCCACACGGGGCCCAGGTAGTGGGTAGCAGCCGAGGAGGCTTTCCCCTGACCGTGACCAGAAGGCAGCACCCCCCCCTGCAACCCGCCGCAACTGGAGGCTGTAGAAGTCATGGTTCTTTAGGAACCAATCCTCAGCTCCAGAGAGACCCCCGCCAAGAGCTGAGGCCAGGCCCCCGCGGCTCCAGGGACACCAGCCTAGGCCCGCAGGTTCTGGACAGAGGCACAGGCAAAGTGAGGGGCATTCCGTGGAGGCTCGGGACAGCAGAAGTGATCAAGTGCCGAATGAGGGCACAGGCAGTAAGAGTTCAGAGGAGGGAGAGAATCTAACTGGGGACAGCACAGCAGTGGGAGGTGTGGCTGCGAGCAGGGGAGACCAGCTTTTCACACGCCCACCCTCCGCAGTGCAGGCCCACACTCTTGGAGGAGCCACGGCCAATTCTGCAAAGTCCTCTCCGGGCCGGGCCTGCAGGAGTTGAGGCTCCGTCTTGGCCGTTCACCTGTCCCTCCTGTCCACGGCCGCACCCCCATATACACGCTTGGACCCGCAACGCACAAAACGTCTCAGGGGTCCCAGGTCCCCGTTCCCCGGCTGGGCATGCAGGGGAAGGGGAGGGGGGGGAGCTCCAGCTTCTCTCCTCTACGTTCCACCGAATTCCACAGCTCACTGCACGCACACATGCCCTGCCTCCCTGTGGTTTCTCCGTTCTGTTTCTTCGCTTCCACCACAAAACCTCTAAACCCAGTGTGAGGTCAGTGTAAGTCTCCCCCACCCCCCGCCCCGTTTCAGAGGTAAGGAAACCCGTGGGGAGGGAAGGGGCTTTGCCATGGTAACACACCAGTCAGTGGCAAGCCGGATTCTGAAGTCCGGCCCCTCTCCACTCCACCGTGACGCCTCTGGTGGGTGAGAAGGTCAACTGTGACTCAACCCGGCAGAATGAGATCTGCGGGGGCTGCGAGAGAAAAACGCGCACTCCTTACAGAGAGGTGCACCGTGGGGAAATCATTTTTCTGACAAAAAAAGCATTTAAAGTCCAAAAAGTGAATGCAGGATCTGCTTAAGGAGTGAGTCGGCTCCTCGGGGAACCTCTAGGGACCTAGGGAGGTGGGGGGGGAGGGGGCACAAATCATCACTGGAATGAAATCGGAAGATATTGCCAGGTTAGGCAGGTTTCCTCCATGACCCCTCACATGAAAGGCAAAAAGTCCACCAGCCCATCCCTTAGGGAAGATGAGAAATCACAATAAAACACAAGCCGTTGCTGAGAGCTATTGCATGCACCTTCCATGCACACCTGTCGTTGCTGTGGTCTGGGGCGGTGGGGGTACGGAAACCAAATAAGACGTGGTGGTGTATTTGTTGTTGATGATCAGGAACAGAAAGAAAACATGTTACATCTTTAAGTTTTTCTCCCCAGTTTTTTTTTTTTTTAAAGATTTATTTATTTATTTTGAGAGAGTGAGAATGAGAGAGAGAGAGAGAGAGAGTACATGAGAGCAGGGAGGGTTAGAGGGAGAAGCAGGCCCCTCGAAGAGCAGGGAGCCCGATGCGGGACTCGATCCTGGGACTCCAGGATCATGACCTGAGCCGAAGGCAGTTGCTTAACCAACTGAGCCACCCAGGCGCCCTTTCTCCCCAGTTTTATTGAGATATAATTGACAAACCAGTGATATATTTAAAGTGAACGAGACGGGATGTTTGACACACCAGGGAGAGTTCCCACCATAGAGTTAATTAGCACATCCATCACCTCACAGAGCTACGCTTTTTTGGGAGGGTGGGGGGAGAACACTTAAGTTCTATCCTCAGCAAATTTCAATCATACAATACAGTGTCATCAACCGTACTCATCCTGTTACACGTTAGGTCCTCTCCTTGACGTTTCAAAAGCTAAATCTTCACTACGCCTCCTGAATGATTTGGAAAATGGCCGGGAGGGGTGCATGTGTGGAAAAAATAAATAAATAAAAACCCACCTTTTGGAGGAGTCAGAAGGGCTTTCCTGAAAATTTCTCAGATTCCTGACTGATTTCAGTCAGTGGACATGAATTAGTAAGTGAATCTGTTTCTCTATACAACTTCTATTAATAGGATATCGGTCTCTTCTCATCCCCACTAAATAAATGTCAAACAAACACTTAAAGAATACCAGTTTGATGGGGTGCCAAGCTACTAGCTTGCCCAGACGTCTGTATGTCTCAGGCATAAGTTCCAAACGAGTGGGTGGTATAACTGAAGTTAAACACCGTGGTTTCCATCCCCCGTTGACATGGAGACCGGGAAGCAGAAGAGCGTGCACAGACGGACAGATGCGGAGGGTGGGGGGTACCACGGCCCACCGCGCGGGCTGCTGGCCCAGGCCGAGCCGCCACAGCTTTTCCTTCCTTCCCGACGCACGGCTCCTTGTTATTGACATACAGTCTGCAGGTCATACGTTCACCCTTTTAAAGTGTACAATTCGGCGCATTTGGCGCATTCACAAAGCTGCGCGGCCACCGCGCTCTCTAGTTCCAGAACACTTCTTTCGACCCCGAAGAGAGACCCATACCTTTTACTGCACACTCCCGGTCCTCCGCTCCCCCAGACCCTGGACAACGCCAACCTGCTTCTGTCTCTACGGATTTGCCTGTTCTGGGCGTTCCATACAAATGGGCGCGTAACACGTGGCCTTCTGTGTCTCTGAGCATCGTGCTTTCCAGGGTCATCCGTGCTGTAGCCGGGGTCAGCGCTTCCTTCCTTCTTATGGCCGAGTCATAGTCCACTGGAAGAACACCCCACATTCTGTTTATCCATCCACTGGACTTGCTTCCACTGTGGGGCTATTGTGAACAGAGCTGCTATGAGCACCCACAGACAAGCTTTTGTGTGCAGGTGTGTTTAATTCTTTGGGATCTATACCTAGGGGTTCCTAACATATTCATAAAATAACTTAAAACAAGCAATACGTCCGTATTTTTGAAAAGATAAAAAAGGTGCAAGGTGAGCGTGAGTTTCAGTCTTGTCCCAGCTCCTCTCCTCAAGAGGCCAAGAGGCCAATACCAATTCTGGGTTGATTCTCCCAGTGGCAGCCTACACACGCACACACACACGCGCGCGCACACGCACACACGCGCGCGCGCACACACACACGCACACATGAGAAACCCGGCAACCAGGGAGGCTGGAGTCAGCCTCAGATGCTTTGGAAAGAGCAGCCCAGGGTCCAGTGCGCGTCCCATCTGAAGCCGCTGAGCAGAGAAGAGGTGAGGCGGCTGGGTGGCTGAGGGAGGCCTGGGGGTGGCAGGCTCTGCCATCTCTCAGCTCTGTGGCCTCAAGCAACCTAACCTGTGTGCTTAACCTCCCTGGGACTCAGCTTCCTTCTCCGTAAAAGAGTGCTGACATGGGTACCCACGTAACAGAACCGCTGTCAAGAGCCGAGGAGCTACGGAGCGCACGCGCTAGGCACCACGCCCGGCCCACGGTAAGTGCTCAGTGTTTGCTGCGCTGTGGTTCGACTGCTGCTCATCCCTCTGACCTGGTCCTCAGTTTCCCCATCTGGAAGATGGAGGCAGGCACCTCCCACGCACAGTTACAGTGTGGAACACACAAGACCCCTGGGCCCAGCATGCTACCATTTCTGAGTGGCTGGCACTCAGGAAAGTCAGACCAGCTACACAGCGTCCCCGCACCCCGGCGTCAGGCTCCAGGCCCCTCCCCAAGGAGATGCCAGATCTCCCTGCTCCACGCCTGCAGCTCTGACTTCTCCCAGATGAGCTCCCCACATGCGCCCTCCCACATGCACAAAGGAGGAGCCTGCATCTTGGACCCCACACCTTGGACGGGTCGCTGGATTTCTTATTTCTTGTCCCTTCCCCCCCAACACCTTCCTTCCGGATCCTTCTCTCTGCTTTCTCGACAGACAGTGTACTCTGGAGCTGAGCTTCCTTCTCTGAATCCCAGACTGTGGAGGCAGCAGGGAAACCCTCAAGGACCTTCAAAGTTGAGAGCCCTCAAGTGAGGAAGGAAGCATTAGCAGGGCCATCAGAAAGCTGTTAGGAGCAATTTTCCTCCCAGCTGGCAAAAGGCAAAGCAGAGGCCGAGGAAGAAACCCGGACCTGGGAAGGCAGACCAGGGAAGAGAAACTGAACAATGCTTCCTTGGGCATGCAAAAGTTCACGCGGGAGAAAACCATCGCATGCACGCGCATACACGCACACACATGTGCGCACACAAACACACACACACACACACACACACACACACC